GATCGAATATTGCACTATATTCTTGTACATTCGGACCCTCACCGGTGTATGTCCACAATCACAGATATGCTCTGTTGTAGGTAGAAAAGAGAGGAGTATATGTACATGCTGTCATTGCAAAAAGAAGTGTTCCACAAATAAATGCAACTGTAAAAGCAAGGGCCTCTTGTGCAATTCAAAGTGTCATAGTAGTTTAAGTTGTTGCAATAAATAAGATTTGAATAACATAATTTAGTAAAATTTTAAACTTCTATTATTTTCCTTTCTCATTTTGAATGTACTGTGTGTTCTAAGTTCTTATTTTAAGTCTCAAGTGCGTTTTTTCGCGACAGAATTACGGAGAAGAAAATATAATATTCTTATATGTTCAACATTCACCATTAGTACATGGTGAATGTCGACATTGACCGGTGTAAGTTAGAAATAAGAGTATTTGGAAAATATTTCGGACATACACCAAGGGACTATGTGAATGTTGACATTCACCGGTGAAAGTCGACATTCTCCAGATTTCGGTGTTTCACCGTAACATATACATTAGAAATTGTGAATTTTTTAAGTTCTATTGAAATTTCTATTGTGTTACTTTCGAAAGTGGTGCTGGGATTAGGAATTTGTGAGTGTTTTATGCTCCTTTTAACAAATGTGATGATGCCACCGCCTCTTCCTGTCTCACGATCCGTACGGTAGGTGTTATAATTAGCATTAAGTACTTTGAGTGCTGGTTTAAGGTGAGTCTCCTGTATGAGTATAACGTCAGGTTCAATTTCAATAATGAGGTTGGATAATTCATCTTTTTTATGGTAAAGACCGTTTGCGTTCCAAGAGAGGATTTTTATGTTGCACCTATTCTTGAATTTATTAGAATTGAAGATGATTTCCTATTTTTTCAATGAATTCGACTACTGCGATTATTTTATCAAGAGGGGATTTCTCGGTTTTAATGTTTTTGAGTCTTTGTATCACTATTGTCCAGATTGTTTTTAGTGAAGAGAAGTCGAAGAGGTCTGACAGGGAGGATTCTGCGGTGCTGGTAGTTTCTTCTGTTGGATTTTCGTTTTGAATGGAGGTTTTGAGCGAGATTTTCGTTACTGTTTTATGTCGGCGGAGGAAAGTCTTGTCTTCTGTTAGTCCAGGGATTAATTGCTGGTGGAGAACCGGGTTGGAATTGAACTTGTTTGTTTTTTGGTCTGGCCGGACAATTTGAGAAGTTGGCTAGTTTGCTAGTTGACCTTTGCAATGATAACATATGGCTGGCTGGCCGCGACTATGGGTGTATTCTATAGGTTTATGATTGCCTCCGGACGCATACCCAGTCTCTGGTGCAGAGCAGGGAACTGTTTCTTATATCCTGAATGAACATAGAGGGTGTTAAAGGCATTAAATCTTCTGACAAATAATTTAACGGTCTTGCGTTGATTACAGCTTCCATATCGCAGAGACAGTACACAGCTCCTCATATCTCAAGAAGGCTCTTCCTAATATTCTCAAAATTTTCTTAACCATCTGAATAATACGCTTTCACCAAACCCCCATCTCGCAGCTGTGGGGGGATTGAACTTCCATATAATCTTCAAAATAGAACATTCTTGCATAATTTTGTTCCAACCGAGTGAAAGAAAGAGGTTGTTAGTCCCAACAAAGTTCGTACCATTGTCAGTATACATAGTTTTTGGTTGTCCACGTTTGGCTATGAACCTTCTGAAGCCCAACAAAAAATCGTCGGTGGAAAGTCCTTGTATCAGTTCAAGATGTATGGCCCTATAAACATAATAAAAGTATCCAACTTTTCTTTCTATTCTTTAGATAAAGAGGTCCAGGTGAATAAAAGTATCCAACTTTTCTTTCCATCCTTTAGATAAAGAGGTCCAGATAAGTCTACTCCAGTTACTTCAAAAACCAGAGCGTCTCGGACCCTATCTTCAGGCAGTGGGGCTGGAACTGTTCCGATTTTTTTTTTCATTATATCTTTTGCATCGAATGCATTTTGCGATTACCCTTTGAACTGTTTTGCGTCCTCTTAAAATCCAAAACCGTTGACGAATATCCGTCAAAACAATTTGAACTCCAGCGTGTGAAAGTACTGTATGTCTTTCGAAAATTAACTTTTCTACAATTTGATGATCAGAAGGTAAAAGTATGGGACACACGAAATAATCTGTATCATCTCTTCGAAGGATTTTTGTCTTCAGTCTCATTAAACCTTCTTTATCAGTGAAAATGCAAAGAGTTTTCAACTTTGATTTTGTAGATTCGTTTTGGAAAGATTCTTTCTGAACAATTAAGAAAAGCCTTTTCTCAGCTGCTTCTATTTCCTGAACAGAAAATTCTTCTTTCAGTTTATGATCGGAATTTCTAGAATTATGAAAAAATCGCAGAATCCAAGCTATCAGCCGAATGATTCTCGAATATTTAGAAAAACGATGCAAGTACCATTTTTCGTTAGGAGCAATTAAGGTAACTAAGGCAGTTATTCCCTTTTCTCTTTCTTTAGAAATGTCTTCTATATTTAATTTAATTTCAGAGACGGGCTAATTTTGTTCAGGCTGTTTAAGCCACAGTGGACCCTCCCACCATCTGTATCTGAGCCGAACTCCAGCGGAACATCCTCTGGATGGGAGATCAGCCGGATTATCGCTTCCTGGGATATGCTTCCCTTGTTCCTCTGATGTTAAATTTCTTATCTCCTTCACTCGATTATTTACAAATGTTCCCCATTTGTCTTCATGCTTGATCCAGAACATAACGGTAGAGGGGTCGGTCCAACAGGTACTTGATACAGTGTCTCAAAAAAGTGATGGGACACTTGTGCTTTACAAAAGAAAACTGTAGTAAAATAAATTTAAAAAAAACATGTAACTTTTTTTGTGGGTGTGTTTCATACTTAAATTTAGTAACAATTATTACATAACATACATTTTCTCAAAATATAAAAATATTAATTTAATAAAAATACAATTGTTTAGAACGGAGCAAAGGATGGCTCACATAAGTGATGGGACACTTACTTTTCCATCAAATATTTATCCAAAAATTTTACTTTTTAAAAGGTTTTAATATTTTGTTGGATTTCCTTTTACTTTTAAAACATAATTTAATCTCCTTGGGATGGATTCGACTAATTTTTTTGTGATTTATGGAGTGATTTTACCCCATTCTTCTTGAAGCACTGATTTTAATTGTTGTTTTGAAGAAATGGTGTGTTTGCGAATTATTGTTTCCAATTCTTGCCAAATATTCTCTATGGGATTTAAATCTGGAGATTGTGGTGGTGTTTTTATTATTTCAGGACAGTTATACAGCAGCCAGAGTGTGCTTGAGGTCATTGTCCTGGTAGAATTTAAAATCGTTATGAAGGTTCAATTTTCGTGCTGAAGATTTTAAATTTTGATTTAAAATGTCAATATACTTGTACTGATCCATTATACTGTCAATAAAAACAAGATTACCAACTCCAGCGGACGACATACACCCCCATACCATAACTCCTCCTCCACCATATTTTACTGTTGGCACCAAGTTCTGTTTGCGAAATTCTTCCCTAGGTTTTCTCCACACCAAGATTCTACGCCAGAACGAAATATATTAAATTTACTCTCATCAGCAAATATAACTTCAATCCAGTAATCAGAATTCTTATTTATGTTGGATTTTGCGAAAGCCAGTCTGAGGTTTCTATTCTTTTCACTCACGAAGAATTTTTTCCTGGCTGCTCTACCGTGATATCCAGCAGATCGAATTACTCTCCTAATAGTCTCAGGATTAACAATTACTCCATATAATGCTTGTAAATCAGCAGCAACTTTAGGAGCACTCATTCTTGGAGTTTTTTTTTAAATATTTCCGAACGATAATTCGCTTTATTCCATTGGATAGCTTTGATGGTCGGCCAGGTCTTCTTTTATCCTGAATCATATGATTCTTTTTATATCGTTTAATGATATTGAAAACTGTTGAATGACTGAAGTTAACTGTTTCAGTAGTTTCTCTAATAGATTTTCCACGTTCAATATGCAAATTAATAACTAATTTTCGAATTTCAGGCATTCTTTTCGTTTAGCATTCATGGCTGCACAGAGCTAAAAAACACAAAAATTCCAAAACAAACTGGAGAGAAATACTGAAGACGATTTTATAAATTATTGCCAATTGCTTTTGACTAAAAATAAAAACCCCAAAAAATATTTTTATTGTAGTACGTAGTAGTATCTAATGGTGTCCTATCACTTATGTGAGCCATTTTTTGCTTCGTTCTAAACAATTGTATTTTAATTAAATTAATATTTTAATATTTTGAGAAAATGTATGTTATGTAATAATTGTTACTAAATTTAAGTATGAAACACACCCACAAAAAATTTTTACATTTTTTAAAATTTATTTTATTACAGTTTCCTTTTGTAAAGCGCAAGTGTCCCATCACTTTTGTGAGACACTGTATTACCTTTAAATCCATCGCTTCTTTCACTGTTGCAGTGAGACGAGCTCCGATCAAGCATGCTAACAATTCTAATTTGAGGCATCGTTACCTGTGTTAAAGGAGCCACTCTACTTTTAGCTTCAATCAAATGACCTTTTACCCCTTTCTCACATTCGCTTTGTAGAAATACGATTGCGCTATAGGCGGACTTGCTCTCATCACAAAAAGTATGAAAACTCAATTCTTCCGGGGCATTGCTTTGGACATATCGTAGAATTTTGATCTCTGTCAACAGATGTAAATTTTCAAGCCATTTATTGAACTCCAGGCGAATATCTTCTGGACAGGTTTCATCCCAACCAATCTTCAGGTTCCAGCTATTCCGTATTAACAGTTTCAAACGAATCGTTACTGGACACAGAATTCCTATAGGATCGAAGATGCTGGGAACTGTCGAAAGAATATATCTTCTAGTAATGGGTTTTTGCTTGAAATCAATTTTTTCAAGATCACAAAACAGAACATCTTTAGTTTTATCCCATAATAATCCAAGAACAGGGACGAGTTTTTTTTTTTTTTTTCATTCTTCACCTGTTAGACTGGAATGTTCCCAACCTCTTAAATCGAAACAACCAGTAGCCAGAATCCGTTTTGCTTCAAAAATGAATTTCTTAAGTTCATCTTGACTAGTTATCGAAGTTATGCAGTTATCCACATAGAATGCATTCGTCAGCTTTTCTACGGTTTCAGGAAAATGACTTTCATTTTGTTCCAAATGGTAATCTAGAACGGCAGCTAGCAAGAAAGGGCTGCTCGTAAGTTCAAACACTACTCGTCGGTGACGATAAATTTTTTGTTTTCTTTCCTTATAATCTTCCCACCATATGAATCTAAGAAAATCTTGGTCTTCTTTGGCCACAGATATCTGTAAAAAGGGCTTTTTTATATCTAAAACTACGCCAATTTCTTTCTGACGAAATCTCATAAGTAATGGAGGAATGTTTTCGATAAGATTTGGTACTGTTTCTAGACAGTCGTTGAGCGAAAGTGAGTTCTTACTTCTACACGAAGCATCAAATACAGGGCGTACCTTCGTAGTAGAATTTCCTTTAAACATACCTCTATGAGGCAAATAATGACAAGGATTTCCCAATTCACTATCTAATACTTCGATGATAGTTTCCTGTAACCATTCCTTAAATACAGCTTCATAGTCATCGTATTTTCCTTTTTTAAAAGTTTCTGAGTAGTAGTTACGCATCTTTTTTCAGCTATATCTTTGTTTTCACTTAACGTCTCGTATGTCTTCTGTCGCTAACTAAGGTAGTTTGACGATCTAACGGCCATTTTTATCTCTCTGAACGGTTTTTCGAAAACGCTGAAGAATGGACTGTTCGTTTTCTTCTTTAGTTTTTGTTTCAGTAGGATCATTTATACCTACAGTAGCTAATTTCCACAAATCAGCCACAGAAGAATTGTTAATCAGTAAAGATGTCACTAAGTGGGATGAAGTTTCATGAAACCTTTCTTTGGACATGTTTCCCATGATTACCCATTCTAAATAACTTTCACATGCAATCAAATTGGATTTCAATGTAGTACACATTCTTCCTGTAAATATATTACCACAATAATCTGCACCTATTAACAGATCAATATCAGGACAACCTTCTCCATAGTCAGTGAGCCAAATTTTATTTTCTCTTAACTTTTCCTTATAAAGTTCTCTTCTCAACCGAGGAATGTTGCCACAAATGATCTGCTGATCCAGAACCTTTATGTTACAGGAGAAGTCCTCTTTTAAAGATATCAGATTAACAACTTAAACATAATGCTCCCTTTTCTCAGTTGTAATTCCCCCAAATAGAGAGTGAATTAAGATTGTCTTTTCTGTGGGCTTCAAACCTCATTTCTTAGCTGTTTCTTTAAGAATGTAAGAATGTTGTGAGACAGTGTCAATGAGTACACGTACTTGTAGCTCTTTCCCTTTAGTCTTCAGTTTCCCTTGTAACGTTTAAAGCAATATTTCATCAGAAGTGCATAAGTTAGATGAACTAACATCAGACGACATCTTCTCAAGTTCCTGTACGTCACCTTTCATCTTAATTCCAGGGAGATCTGGGCACATCAAAATCGAATGTTTTTTGCTGCAAAGAACACATTTGATGCTGGACTTGCAACATTTAGAACGATGTCCAATTTTTAAACAGACAAAACAGGCCTTTTTTGTTTTTTAAAATTTCTTGTTTTTTCTTGAAACTTGAGTTTAAGTGCAGAAAAGCAATTTTTACTTGTGTGCAATTTGTCACAAAATATAAAAACATTTTTTTTTATTCTCTGTTGCTCCCGCAAACAAATCTGCTGCCGTCGGTGGATTACTAGGAACAGAACGCTGTATTTTTTCCTTCTGAAATTTGTGTTTTTTACTAACAAATCTCTTTGCTAAACGAATACGTTCTTCCCCTTCAACTTCAGCTTTCAGGAACAATAATAAATTTTTTAATTTCTCTCCATAAGCATTTTCTTCAGAAGAATCGAATTTGGTGTTAACTATAGGGTTTCTTAACCAAATTCTAAAAATGTCTTCCGGAATACACGATTCTACAAGAGGGAAAAGAATAGCTGAATATGTATCGGATGTTTAGCCTATGGACTCCAACACTCTTAGATGCGATTCTATTTTATCATATAATTTCGACGTGTCTAACTTTCTTTTTTCTTCGGTAACATTTTTACAAGAAGATTTAAAAGTTCGCGTATATAAAATTCAATTAGTAAATCCTCCCTTCCGAATCTTGATTTTAAACATGCAATAGCTTTATCATCATTTTCACATGTCGGTGGGTAACTATCGACAATATCGCGAGCTCTAGAGCCTTCAGTCATACATTGAATTAAATACTGAAATTTATCTTCTTTCGCAATATTTTCATCGTCATGTATTCTTTTGAATTGGCTCCAAAAGGCAAGCCAATCTTTGATTTCCCCGTCAAATTTCAAAAGTTTGATCTCTGGTAACTTTAACTTTCGTTTCTGAACGGGCGAAGAATCAACAGAACTTTCGGTTTTAGAAATTCTATTTAAATACATTTCTACGTTTACTTCCGTCTTTACGAAATTTTCATTATATTCTTCTATTATCGCGTACTCGTTCTGATACTTTTTATCGTCTTTATCTTCTAATAATAAAGAACTTATTTCCTGATCTATTTCAGTTAGCTGACAATAAATTCTACGCAAATTAGTTAAGTTAGATCTAATGCTCTCTTCTTTAACATTATCTGCCTTTAATAAATCATTTAAACCATTAAAACACTTTGTGAAGTTAGCTCTTATAGGAGAACGTTTTTTAACAAGTAATTCCATTTTCAGAATAATAGATAATTCAAAATAACGTACCTTTAATATCACGTCATACGGTCACCGTGTTAGACTACCTGAATTTTGTTCATTCAGTTGGTACCATATTAAAAGAAATGTAAAAAGAAACTTATAATTAAGTAATACGGGCAATGCACCCAATTAATTCACTATAAAACAGGCAATCCACCTTAATGCGAAATCATAGTGCATTTTGCTTTATTTATTCTAAATCATAAAAACGATACAATGTAGCAAAACCGTAAAATTTAACCTTTAAAGAAATTATATTTATACAACCGTTGAGTTGCTCACGACAACGGTATTTATTTACGCAAAAGTAATGATGATCTATTTTTGTTAACGTTGCTAATGTTACTGATGATAAAACCTTTCCATTTGATCTTTCACACATCTCGAACTCTGAAATTCCTGACGAAGTTCAATATAGCGTTACTTCTTACAAATCTCGCAAATTTAATACTGCTATGAAATACTTTAAGGGAATGAAAGAAAATGAAAATCGGTTAAAGAAAACAGTTAAGTATGAAGAGGACGATGATGATTTGGATGATGGTGTAGACAATGACAAAGACGATGACGAATTGGATTTGGATGATGATGATATGGATGAAGATGATGATGTTGACAATGCCGATGATGAAGCTAATGGAGATGACGTTGATGCTGTTGATGAGAATGATGATAAAGAACAGAGTGTGCAGAATAATGAAAAAGCTGTCAAAAATAAACTGAATCAGATAAAATAAGCCTTAAAAAAAGTTCTGAAGAGAAAACACTTGCTGAAAGTGCAGAAACATCCAAAGAAAAGAAACCGAAAAAAACTCTAAAAACTGAAAAGTAGGTTTTTTTTTTTTTTTTTTTTTTTTTTTTTTTTTTTTTTTTTTTTTTTACAGATGAGATGGTTCCTAATGATGAAACAAAAGATGCAAAGAAACGAAAAGAATTATTTGCATTTTTTGAATTTATTAGTGAACCTAAAGCTGAGAAAAACCACAAGATCCTGCAAGAGAAAAAATTACGAGATCAGCTTGTTTCAGTACATTTTGCTGGTGTGAAAAGCAAATATAAACCAAATAGGAACAATTTCTCAACTTGCTGAATTTTTTCCAAAGCCTCTCAGATAACTCTAAATTCATCACCTGTATAGTGAAATGCTACCGTAAGTTACATACGAGAGAAAGATGCAGCTGAAGCTTTTGAGGCTACAAAGAATGCTGAAATAGCTAAGAAAATATTACTGTTTTATATTCTTTAGCTGCTTCACGACCAAAGAAAAGGGCCTGGAAGCATAATCGAAGAAAATTTGAAAGGACTTTAAAGAAAATGAAATTGGAGACACATCGAGATGATGGAAACAATGCGTTGCGTATTCAAGCTAAACGGAACATCCTCCATTTACAAAAAGAAAATATACGACAGTATAAGAGACGTCACAAACCTGCCTGCAGATACAAGCTCGAAGACCAAGTGGCAATATAACCTGCACTGAAACTTCGTCCCAGATACGCCATGAAGTCCCACCATTACGTCAACCTCTGCTGATAAGATAAAACGTTGGTGCACAAACTGAACATTCCCCAACAAGACATTTCTTGATTTTTTTCACTTTTTCTGCTTTAAAAAAAATTTCTTTTCAGATCTCTAGTTTTTCCCCCCTCCAGCCGAGGACGTCTGGTCCGTCAGGATGCCAGTGTAGACACAAAAGTTCTTACATCTGACAGTGGCAAAGTCCATAACAGTTAGATGGTCCTGCAAGCTGTGTGAAGGAATCCAGACGATTTAGCCATTGAGTCGGAAGACGTTACAAGATTTCTAAAATATCCTTAAGTAAAGAAAGTATTTTACTGATCTTGGAGGCGTTAGAAGCCTCCAAGATTTCATGACCAAAAGACCTTTTCTCTAACAAAGGAGGCGCGACTTTTATCTTTGGCTGTGGTTCGTCAGCGTTACCCCTGAGGTTGCTCAAGAGAATTCCTGGGAAGTACTGGCTAGGATCTGTACTTAGGCAGTCTCAACTATATAGAATAGTCTTCACAGGGTATAGAATTAGTCTTCACAGGACTAGAACCTCCGTTTATTCGACGGATGGTCCAGGCTTAGCAGGGACGGTACTGGTACTGTCTTGTCTGTGGGGTCGCAACATGGTTAATTATTGTGGCCTTCCTTGGGGGTTTGGTTCCATTCAGTCCCTTCGACGGGGAATGACAAAGTACAGAACACCCTTTGAATCTATCGATGCTCCCGGCATGGTGCCGTGGCAGAGATATCTTTGTGTCTTTTTTGTCTAAGCATTAAATCCTTTCTCATGCTTTGTATAAAGCCAAGGGAAGGTCGCTGGGGCTGCGCCCGCTTGGGGGATGTCCCCCAGAATTAGACATAATTTTCGGAAGGCAAGTACCATGGCGAGGTTCGTCTCTGGAGTTCTGTAAGTTGCCTGAGTGGCGTCTGAGAAGAGTTTGTATTTGAATCCCTCGAAGACTAACTGCAAGACTTATTATTCCAAAAGCAGTCGCTCAGACACCAATAAAATTTGTCGCAGATATTTCTTCTTTCTCTTTGTGAGTTCTTGAAACTCAGGAATTAGTAAAAGTTAATTTCGTTCTATAGATAAAAAAAAACTGTGTGTAAAGTAAAAAGCTTCCAATCACTCTGTAGAGAAGTTAGGTTATTTTGAAACAGGAGATGTGAAAAATGAGCAATGCCCTCGGTGGGACTCGAACCACGGACCTCTCGAATACGCGCTGAGTGTGCTGACCACTACACCCCGATGGCATGCTAAGAAGGCGGGGGAAATACCTTATACTTCCCCTTTTAAAAAGCGACTGGGGATTAGGAGATCCAATCGCCCAATCCTGGGGGTGGAGAATCATCATCCACCACCTTTTTTAGTTCGGGCCCCACTGTAGAGACATTAGGTTACTTCGAAGCAGGAGACATGTAAAAAGAGCAATGCCCTCGCCGGGACTCGAACCTTGGACCTCTGTTATATGCGCCGAGTGTGCTTACCGCTACACCATGAAGGCATGCTAAGAAGGCGGGAAAAATGCCTTATACTGTTTTAATCGTCTTCTCAGCTCTTCCACAGCATAAAAAAATATATCAATATCTTTTATGTATAACTGCACGAGAGGAAAAAATTCTCATGCTGCTTTCGTATAACTTGTCAATACAGCGAAACATTTCAAAATACAGCTTCATATGAATAGTTTTTCTTTAACGAACGAACACAGCTGAAAACATATCAACAAAAGAGCAAGTAGTATTATTGTGCTCATTCGTGATGCATTACTTTTTTTAATTTCTCAGTTTCTAAATTTCTCTCTCTCTCTTTTTTCTTAAAATACACAAGCAATGACCCATCAGTGGTACCATCGCTGAGGACTTGCAGTTTGATGGTAAACAGTACGAGTTATTTAGCTTTAAACGTCCTATACAAGATTAACTCCTTTTAAGCATATAGCCTTCGTGTGTTTTGCTGCAAATAATGCTAATATAAATTTGGGTGATACAATTTCATATAAAAATTTCATATGAAATATTCATATGAATTCATAATTTCATATGAAAATTTTATATGAAAATTTCATATAAAAATTAATCACAATCGTTAACAGCAGTTTTTGTGCGCATAAACATGCGAATATTCATGTTCCTTTTAATCTGGTAGCAAACTAAAGCGGCTCTTTGGTACTTATTCGTTACGCATATAGCACGCTTAGTTGCTATGACGTTGCAGTGACATCTCAATGTTGCATTTTCTTCACATTACATTTGTGACCACGTACAACGTCGCAGAAATGTCACATTGGGGTGTGGATGTGAATGTCGCACTGATGTCACATCCACGTCACAGCAAACGTTTGACGACAAGAAATTCGCAGTCTTCCCCACCCTGACCTTTCTTGACCTTGCTCACGTAATTTTTCTTTAATGGGAGGTATTCTTGCACGCTGACCTTCCCCCCCCCCCCGATTCATTGCTGTGCGTTTTAGTAAACCTTTCTAAATAAATTATTCTTTTAAATGCTACTAGCCAGCAATTTAGTTACTCCTTTTTTATTAAAAATATTAACAGTTTATAGTGTGTTTTTATTGATGTGGTACTTCGAAATTATTGAACTATATTCTGTGGTGAATGAATTCACATTCTACCGTATCTAGTGTTATCAAGAGAGACTAACGAAACACTTTGTTGTCTGCATAGAGTTTGTTTGTCTTAAGGATTTTCGCGACCATTTTTTTAGTTCTGTTCGCCGAACACATCATCAATGGTACATTTTCAAGTAAGCACTGTTTATTGTACATTGATGTGAATGATATCAGAAGTAATTAATATATAATAATAAAAGCACAATTAAATGCTATGAAAAAGAAGAAATAATGAACTGGCAGTTGATTAACTTTTATTTGTATTACAAAGAGTGCGGAAGCAAGGCCATTATTAAAAGTTTACTCTCATTTTTGTCTGACTGCTTGAAATTTTAATTTAGGGAGTCAGGTTTATTTGGTAGATATAATTCACTTTTTTGTTTTTAACGTTAAAAGATAATGTGAAAAGAAATTTATTTTATGCATTTTACTGCAGTACTTTCATCGTGTTCAGCTGTTTTTCAAAATTATTCACAAAATAATTGTTTTCTTTCATGCGTGGTACTTAGAGCCCAAGGTCCGTAGAAAGAACTTTCTACGAACCTTGCTTAGCGCCCACATTACAAATGATGTCATACTTCCATAACCACTCCTCTAGTTATATAGAATATGTGGCCAATTTTTGGAATATGGTAACAGGTAGTTTGGCGACATTTTGGTAGGCGATAAAAGTTACTACCTAGGACTTTGGGAATAATGTGAGAAGTACTCAGTTCCGATTACGCATTATTTTGTGTGAAGGAAATGAGAGATCATGAGATATGTCATGTGACATTAATGGACGAATTACAGTTCTTTAATCGGAAAAGGGGGGAAATCTGGAAAAAATCTGAAAATTTTGTATTTAGCTTCATTCTGTGTTGTGTGAAACAGTGTTGGTTAATTTTTGGATCCCATCGCCCTATCTAAAGTGAATTCGAAATGGGTATTTAGTGAGATTGAAAGGGGTAGTAATAAGTGTTTTTTTAAGGTTGTGCGAGATAGAAGTAAAGATTGCTTATTAAGTTTTATTAAGCAGTATATTCTACCTGGTACAATAATATCTGATTGCTGAAAGTAATATGTCTGTTTGGAGGATGAAGGTTTTCAACATCTTGCTGTGAACCATAAGTATGATTTTAAAGATCCTGAAACAGGCGCACATAGGATTGCTTTTTATTTAGCGGAGGAAATAAGAAAAGTTTATCCGCCACGTAATCAAGATTTTGAAGAAGATTAGGTAAGTTAGTATTTTTAATTATTTGAGGATATTATTTTTATGCATTGTTCTAAATGTAAGGAGTAAATAAATTAATATGGTATTATTGGAAAATTGTTATTAGCAATTATTTAGTTTAAAGTAATTAGGATTGTAAGCTCATTTTTATTAATTTAATGTATATGCTTATTTATATTTTAAGTAGTGTTTTTTAATTTAATTATATTTTAATTAAATGATAGTTATTTTGTGAATTATATGTTTGTAGCAATTTGGTATACGTTTCAGTGGAAGTAAACGTGCATGGAAATAATTTAAATATTTGACGCAAACATTGCATAAGTATTTGCAATGTTTGCGTTATAAATTCGTTGGTGACGTTTATAATAGATAATTTAGAGGTAAATTTTTTGGATATTTTATTTATGTTATACGTGGAAATGTTCATCCTTGGAAAGATATGTCCTTTTTACCGAATTTAAAGATTCACAAAATTTTCATGCATTTTCGTAAAATTTTTCTAATTTATGAGAAAAAAGCAGTGTAGATGGATAAAGTCAAGAGTGTGCGCAATGCCATTTTTGTGCAATTCTGGGATTTTTTTTTTAAGTAAAAATAAGTCGACGTGTACATGGTTACTGTGTATGTGCGATTCTGAAAAACGCGGCAAGGAGTTTGCGATTCTGCACTTTTTCCCAATTTTGCAGTTAATATTTGTCATGATTAAGCAGTTTTGTTCTATAAAATTTCTAG